GGCGGGCCGGCGGGCGGGGCGAAGGCGGAGCCCAACTGGGCGCCGGCCGGTCCGGGAACCAAGTCCCGGGGCATTTGCGGGAAACGGGAACCACCAAAAACAGCCCGAGGCGTGCGGGTCCCGCGGGTTAGCGTCCTCCCCGGTGCCGGGGGTGCGCGTTTGACCCTCGGTCAGGGCACAGGAGTCAACCGATGCACGCACATAAGTAGGCACAACAGATTTGTTTCTGTCTCTCCCCCTCTTTCTAAAACCAATAAACTTAAAAAAATCTAGCCCTGGCGGAGCGGCTGCGGCTAGTTCGGGGCTGCGCTCGGAAGGAGGGGCGGCGGGCTCAGTTCCCCATCGGGCGCGGTGAGCCCCCCGCAGGCCAGGGGCGCGCGTGCGAGGAACGCGTCCGTGCGTCTCCCTTCCCCCACCTCCCTCCCCCCCTTCGCTCTCTCTGAAAAGCAGTGGAAAAAATACACGCACGTGAGTTAACATTTAAAAAGTAAATAAACATTTAAAAGAACACCTCGTCCCGCCTCAAGGCGGCGATTGGCCCAGAGCCCGCCCGAGGCCCCGCNGTGAGGGCCGCCGTTCGGGACGCGTAGGGGGGTCCAGGTATGAGGCCGAGAAGCGGGAGCCAGACAGGCACGCGCACGGGCAACAGACGCGGGACGAGGGGCGGGCAGGAAAAAGGGAACAGGGTGGGGACGGGTTCTAGGTGCGTCCCGCACCCCCGCAGGCCCAGAGCGATGGCGACCCCAGTCACTCCAGGATCCCCGGCACTCACCCCAGTGGGTGCCCTCTCCCGGGGAGGGCCCCAGTGCCTTCCGGACCCACCGCCGGAGCCCAAGCAGCTGCCGGAGCTGATCCGCCAGAAGCGGGACGGAGGCCGGCTGAGCGCGGAGGACATCAGGAGTTTCGTGCGTGCCGTGGTGGACGGCAGCGCCCAGGGCGCACAAATAGGTGTGTGGGGACTCCTGACCCCACCACTGTCACTGGCCCCAGGATAGCCCATCACCGTGGGAATCCCCCTCACGCTGCCTGCACCACTGTGCCCCATGCTTAGGGGCCATGCTCATGGCCATCCGACTGCAAGGCATGGACCTGGAGGAGACTGTGGCACTGACCCAGGCCCTAGCCAACTCTGGGCAGCAGCTGGAGTGGCCAGAGACCTGGCGCCAGCAGCTCGTGGACAAACATTCCACAGGGGGAGTGGGTGACAAAGTCAGCCTGGTCCTGGCACCTGCCCTGGCTGCCTGTGGCTGCAAGGTGAGATGCCTCCTCTCCAGACCAGAAACCCTGACTCAAAGAGGCCAGCAGCTCCCAACCTCTAATTTGGTCCAGAAAGAGCCCCCAAAGATAGGACCCAAGCTTCTTGCCCCACCTAGAACAGAACTTGGGTCCCCCTTCCCATCAGCCCCCATAACAGGACCAAGTTATCCAGCACCCTCTTCCTCTTCAGCACCCCAGAAAGGACTCCCAAGAGAAAAGCTGGGTACTCCTCCCTCAGTCTCCCTTTGTGCCCCCAGGATACCAACCTCCTCCCTCAGTGCCCTCCCCACCCCAAACCAGGACAATTTCTTTTCCGTTCTCTCTCCACTAGGTGGACACCCACTACAACTTCCCCAACCAGGGAAGGCAAGAGAAGAGGTAGAGGGGTGACTGTGCAGGTGTACTGTGTCTCTGTCCAACAGGTACCCATGATCAGTGGACATGGTTTGGGACACACAGGGGGCACCTTGGATAAACTGGAGTCTATTCCTGGATTCACCGTTATCCAGAGCCCAGAACAGGTACATGTGGGCCACTGATTGGTCATTGATCTGGGTTATTGATGGAAACATTACCTAGAATCGCTGATGGGTTAATAGTCAGGGTCACTAGTAAGGATATTAATCAGTTATTCATGGTTCACTGTTGATCTCTGGACTGTGGTCAAGGTTATCAATGGAACTTTGGAGTCATTAATGGGCCATAGGACAGTGATTCATATCACTGATGGGTTGAGCCAGTCACTAATGAGGTTTTATGAGAATTGTTCATAAGTCACTGGTCATGATTTTGGACATCTGTCAAGGTTGCTTGCGAGTCCCTTAATCAGGGTTAGTGACAGGGTCATTGACCAGAGGTAACTGACAGTCACTGGGAGTCCTGATGTAAGGGGATTTTGCCAGATGCAAGGTCTTCTGGAGAGAGTGGGCTGCTGTATTGTGGGTCAGAGCAAGAAGCTGGTTCCTGCAGATGGAATCCTGTATGAAGCCAGAGACGTGACAGCAACTGTTGACAGCCTGCCACTCATCACAGGTGACCTGACCCCACACTCCAGGGCCCACTTTCTGCATGTTAAAAATCCCTGACCTCTGATGGAACAGTAAGGGGTCCTCTCATAAGGGGGCTGTGGGACCTCCCCCAACCCCCAGGATTAGTGCTCTCCTCATCACAAGGTGCCTGACCACCCACTCAGCCTGACCTGGCTGATGCACAATGGTCCAGGCCCTGTGACCCCCATCATGAGGGACTTGACCCTCAATGTTCAGGGTCCCTGACTCCTCATGACTGACCTGAGAGTCAGAATGTCCTGCATGTCTCAGAAGTTCCAGGCTCTCCTTACCTCCAGCCCCCTCCGCCTCCCTCACAGCCTCCATCCTCAGTAAGAAGGTGGTGGAGAGCCTGTCTGCTTTGGTGGTGGACGTGAAGTTCGGAGGGGCAGCTGTCTTCCCTAGCCAGGCAGAGGCCCGGGAGCTGGCAAGAGCACTGGTGAGCAGCTGTGCCCATGAAGCCTGTGTGGCCTCTCTGCTGGGGAGGGTCTCATATGGGCGCAACCTCCCCTTCATAACTGAAGCAGTCTGCTCCCTGTGTGCCTCTCAGTCCACGTCCACTCAGCAGCCCTGTGTCACCATGGCCTCTGCTAGGACCTGGCTTCCCCGCTGCCAGTCCCTCCTTCACCCCCCTACTCAGTGACCTTACCCAAGCAAGGCTGACCTGGCCTCAGGTCTGGGGAATCCTCCATGGCTCTCCACCCCAGGCCAGGTACAAGGTCTTCCTGACCCCCACCACTGAAGTCAGGCACATTGCCTGCTTCAGGCCTCTCCGCCCCCCCACAACCACACAACCCTTCTGAGACCCCCTCATTCCTGGGGAACTGGCAACCAAGGGTGGGGCACCCGCTAGAGTTTGATAACAAACGGGCTCCAAGAGGCCCCGCGGAACGCAGGGCCGGGGCCACACAACCCTGTCTCCTAAGGTTGCTGTAGGGACAGGCCTGGGGCTTCGGGTTGCAGCCGCCCTGACTGCTATGGACCACCCCCTGGGCCGCTGCGTGGGCCACACCCTGGAGGTGGAGGAGGCGCTGCTTTGCTTAGACGGCGCGGGGCCACCGGACCTGCGGGACCTGGTCACTAGGCTCGGTGAGTGGACACCTAAGAGGTGTGGGGATCTGAACTACAGAACCGCCTCCGCTGCGCCTAAGACCCGAACCCCCGCCCGCAGGGGGCGCCCTGCTCTGGCTCAACGGACAGGTGGAGGCCCAGGCCGAGGGCGCAGCCCGGGTGGCCGCAGCGCTGGACGACGGCTCAGCCCGGGACCGCTTCGAGCGAATGCTCGCGACGCAGGGTGTGGACCCGGGCCTGGCCCGAGCCCTGTGCTCCGGGGACCCCGCGCAGCGCCGGCAGCTGCTGCCCC